GAGAGGATTCTTTTAGCAGGAAGGAGAAAGGTAATAGTTATGTCAAACCACATCAATCAGCACACAATCAATAGATATTTTCTCCTCGTCTCCGGGAAGTACCAGGCTATTCGTCAGATGTCAGAACGACATTTCAAAACGAAATATAACATTACTCATCATTCCATGCAGATATCGACAAAGTAAAGGAATTCTGACAAGTGTATTTGACTGCATTCTATTTAATGTAATTCATTCTCATCCCTCAAAGTGCTCTATAGTGGGAGTTACTAATACATACTGTAAGTATTGTGTGTGTGCTTGAGTCAACACTTCATAATATATATATATATATATATATATATATATATATATATATATATATATATAATATGTATGCATGTGTATGTATGTATGTATGTATATATATATATTATAATTATTATATATAATATATATATGTATGTATAATGTATGTATGTATGTATGTATGTATGTATATGTGTGTGTGTGTGGTGTGTGTGTGTTGTGTGTGTGTGTGTGTGTGTGTGTATGTGTGTGTGTGTATATATATTATATATATATATATAATATAATTATATATATATGTGTGTGTGTGTGTGGTGTGTGTGTGTGTGTGTGTGTGTGGTGGTGTGTGTGTGTGTGTGTGTATTCATGTATATGTATATATATACATATTTACACACACACATATATATATGTATTTGTATATTTTATATATCACTCTAACAGTCCCCGTGCGTACATTTTCTTTAAGAAGTGATACAATCTCATATTTGCAAAACCTAAAAGGTAGTTTTGAAGTACACTTGATGGCCAAATAATTGAAGTTATACATATCATAACTCTGAATATTAGCCTATGAATTATCCTTCAACATATTCAACTTTGACATCAATGAACATTAATTACATTGCACAGATCTCTTCTGGCGTCGCTGCACCTCACATGTGCGTGTACATTGAACCTTGAGACTGCTCCTCTGGACGGACCGGTAAGGACAATACGGACACTTGAAAGGCTTGTCTCCGGTGTGTATCCGCAGGTGTTTCTTGAAGTTGGATTTGTCCCCCGAGGGTAGGGACACTCAGAGCAGGCGAAGGGCTTTTCCCCGTGTGAGATCGGTAATGATCGCCGAAGTGAGAGCGGTTCGGGCTGGCGAAGGGGCACCTCGGGCACTGGTGCACTTTGGGCCCTTTCTTGGGGTAGGCGAAGCGAGCCCCGTCCGAGCCATGCCGCTGCCTTCCATTCCGCCCAGGGAAGGACTGGTATTGTCCAGCCACACCTGTTGGGAATGTTTTGACGGGTTCAGTGGGAGGCTAGAACATGGGGCTCGAATGCTGGTACACATCTCACCTTGTTTACTTCGAGTTTAATTTTTTCCCTTTTTCTCTTTTTCAGAGTTTGATGCTTAGACTCGTAAAGGTTTGGTGTCTCTCATTTGATTGTATTTATGTATTCTCCTTATAAATGGCTTTTAACAGATAGAGATGCAAGTATTAACTATTGCAAATGACAAGGAATTGGTGAGCAGCTTTCGTTTCATAAGATGCAGAATTTCGCACAAACGCCTCAGTGAAATACTCTGTATAGATATAAATATCAATATCAATATATATGTATACAAGTAAATATTTGTGTGTGTGTATATATATATATATATATATATATATTATATATATATAATATATATATCATATATTTACATGTACATTACAAATGTATGTGTGTTGTGTGTGTGTGTGCATTTATATATACATACATATACCTATTCATAAATTTATTTGTATCTATAGATATATATGTACAAGAGGTATGAATGACCATGAATATCTTCACAATACAAACAGAAATACATGTATTTCTGACGAAGATTTTTTCATATTCGAAACCGGTTAAATAAATCTCTCTTGTGAAAGTAATCGTTCTTTTATACCTTTCTACCTGAATACGACTCATATATATGCCATCTATAAACACACACATATTATATATACTATATATATATATATTATATATATTATATGTATGTGTGTATATGTTGTGTGTGTGTGTGTGGTGTTGTGTGTGTGTGTGTGTGTGTGTGTGTGTGTGTGTGTGTGTGGTTGGTGTGTGTGTGTGTGTGAGTGTGGCGTGTGTGTGTTGTGTGTGGGTGTGTGTGTGTGTGTGTGTGTGTATTTGTTGTATAAATCAGAATGAAAATTTACTGTTACTTTTAATCATCGTAATAGAAACGTTTTAATAGCAAATAAAATAAAAAGATATTAAACATTTTTTCAGCTTTCATTCCTAAAGCTTAACGCTAGACAATTGTTGTTTCAAGTAATATCAGTATATTAAACACTTTCATTTTTCATAGTTTTATGGTTAAAGGGTTGGGCTAAGTAAATAACAAAACAGAACAAATCATAATAATTTATTTTCTTAATTCACAGTGGGTTATTGTATCACAAATACTACAGTTTAAATATATTTTAAGTCATCTGTAATATTAAATTAAACATATATTTTCATTAGTTTTCCTTTTTATGTAATCAAGCAATCCAAAATTAAAATCTCTTCTTTACTCAGTCAACAACTTCCACTCACTAACTTGCACAATACAGAAGAAACCACTAACACGATATTATTCGACCCTTCTTAGTAACTTCTCAACATCAAAACACACAATGAAACGTGTGGAACATTAAAATAGTGACAAGTATTAAACGAGCAATTCCAACAGATAATCTAGTTAGAAACAGGACTTAACTCTCAACAAGCACAATAGGTCAAAGGTGTATATTTTCTGCCGTATGAGTGCGCATGTGCCTCTTAAGATTGGACTTGTTGGCAGTCTGATACAAACAATGGGGACAAGAGAAGGGCTTTTCCCCGGTGTGGGTCCGGATATGTTTATCGATATCGGAACGACTTGGTGTTCTGTATGAACAGAGGGTGCAGTTGTGAACCTTCCGTGCTTGCCTGCAGTTGAGGTTCCAGGCGACGCCTCCCCCATCAAGCATTTGAGTGTCAGTATCTCGCCACACCTGTAGGAAATGTTTGACTCACTCAGTTGAATGCAGAGGTTATTGGGGTACAAAACGTTTGACTCATTCACTCGCATCATCTTTTGTTATAAAACGTTTCACCCACTCGCTTGTATGCAGATACGACTCACTCTTGAATGCGGAAGTGATTTTGTTAGCAAGCATTCCACACACCCAGCTGAACGCAAATGCATTATTATATACATATTGGAAGTTAGCAGCAAATTATGAATACATGAAACCGTTTTTTTACTTTATTCTCCAAACTAAAAAGAGGTCAATTTATGGCAAAGCTGGACTTTCTCTGAATAAGAAAAAAGGCCAATAACTATGGCTATAAGCTAATCAGTCCCCGGAAATATTTAACAAAAATAGATTGAGAAATGCTGGTAAAAAGTGAACATCACAATATATTTTTAAGGTCATCTTTATCAAAAAATTGAATTTCATATTGAAATTAACAATGGTAGAAATATTTAGTTTTCCGCAATGAAGGGAGAAAATATAAACATTATATTCTACTCTTGAACTTCGTTTGAAATTACTTATTATAGATTAGAAACATACTTTCCCCAGATTACTAGCACCATCTGTATGCGATCGTAATTCTGAATGGAATGTATGAACGAAAAAAATAAAACAAGAATAATGATTTTTGAACTGCCTTAACCACTGTACCTGCAATAATAATAACCTCTATAGTTATCAGTGGTAATTAATACCAGATATATTATAATTACCCTTTTTATCACCATCCCCAATATTATCTTGACAGTTACTTAATAAATTCAAAAGAAAAATTATAACTGACAAAAATAACAATAATATTCATTAGTAATGGTGGCGGTGGTGGTAATAGTGTAGCAGCAGCAGCAGTAGCAGCAGCAGCAGCAATATTACAACAATGACAACAATAATAGTAATAAATGAAAAGTAAAAATGACAATTATGAAATATGACATAAGTAAGGAGATAATAGTTCAGATAGTATGTATAATACTTGTACTGTTGTGAACATTCATAAATAATAAGATTAACTATGGCATAATATTTATTACAATAACATTCTAGGTAGTAATGATAATAATTATATTCAAAAGGGTAATAGTAATGGTAATGATAATGAAAAAAATAATGACAAAATTAACTGATAAAAATGGTAACAGTAACAATAACAATAATAGTAATAATAATAACAACAAAAATGATAATAATAATGATAATAATAATAATAATAATAATAATAATGATAATAATAATAATAATGATAATAATAATAATAATAAATATAACTAATAACAATAACAATAATAATTATTATTATTATTACAGTAATAATAATACCATAAACAACAGCAATAATAATAATAATAATAATAATAATAATAAAATACTACTACTAATAATAATAATAACAATAACAAAAATAATAGCAACAACAACAACAAGAGCAATGATGATAACAATGATACAATAATAAAAATTATAATGATAACAAAAACAACAAAAATAATATTGATTATCATTATTGTTATTATTATCATCACTATAATCATCATCAATCATCATCATCATCATCATCATTGCTGTTGTTGTTGTTAGTTATTATTAGTTATAATAATAAGAATGGCAATAATGATAACGATGATGATATTCATAGGCTAATGATGATGACAAAAGAAAAATGTGCTATTGGTTGAATTCAGTACCAGTCGAACCACCATTATGTAAATGATAATGATGAAGATAGTGTTTTAAGTAAAATTACCCTATTGGTTGAATTCAGTACCAGTCGAACCCCCGACAATGTGATGATGATGGTGATGATGATGATGATGATGATGATGATGACGACTGTTTTAAAGAAAAATTTGACTATTGGTTGAACTGCCCATCAGTGATAGGGAAAGAACAAGGGCTGAACAAATTCTATCCCTCAACAAGCTCAGTTCATAGTAGCAGCAGGATGGCCCTACCATGAGCCACTCATAAGGCTACTTGCTTAAACTTACACCAAATAACCAAATAAGATGGTCCTACAATAATGGTAATAGTAACGACAGTGGCTAAACATTGAACACAAATAATCATGTGATAACAATGACAAAGAAATAATGCAATAGGTGCTTGTCTTTTTTTGTTTTGCTTTGTTTTTACTCTGTAGGAGATGGGATGTATTGTATAAAAAAAATCTTTAAGCAATTCTATAAAATTGTAAAACTTTTTTTTTCTTTCTTTCTTTTTTTTTCATAATGCAAAAATGGACTGGAGTAGTTAATACATTTGTCTGTTATCAAGTAATTATTGTCACCAACCCGGTAATAGTGTCTTTGCCTCAAGAGGATAGTAAAACTATGTTTATAAAGGAAAATATTTTGAGTTAAAGTAACAGATACACATGACTGCACACTGGGTACATATTTTCTTTTTTAATCATTCTTGCAACATAACTACTAATATTAATCTACATATATTCCTTGACTCCTGACCATTGCCTTACACATTCCTCAGTTGTTCCTTCTTACCTATGTATTTCATGTCTTTCGTTGATTATGTATTATTTCTATTTTTCATTTAATTTTGCCGTTTTCATATTCAATAACTCCCACTTTTCTTAGCTTAGATATTGTTGATTACTGTTTTTAAGATAGATTATTTAATTATTTATGATCACATATGCAATAAGTTTTTTTTTATCAGTAGTAGTCCATACTAATTCAGTAGACACTGCACACAAAGGGTTAATGAAAGACTGGGATTCGAAACTTATGCTTTTATCATGAGAATCATTTATTGCAGTATCATATGCCAATCATCATAATTTCAAGAGTACCATGATATGTAAGAGTATAGGTATGCTATTTCATAATCAATACAAAAATATTCAGAAATATACAAATCAAATAACAATTTTCTTTGTAAATCTCAATATTATACATGAATTGAAAATGCCCTTTAGCTATTTATCACAACTGTGAGATTGTAAAGCCTTACAGTCAATAATACCCAAAGACAAAATCTGCTAAATAAGACAATATATATGTGATAAACTTCCATCTCATAGAGACATTGGGGATTTCTTGGCATGGATACGAACATGTCTTTTAAGATTAGATCTATCACCAGTTTGATAAGAGCAGTAAGAACAGGAAAAAGGCTTTTCACCAGTATGAGTGCGAAAATGATCCGCAAAATGGGAACGATTTGAGCTAGCGAAGGTACAGCTCGGACACTGGTAGAATTTGGGCATTTTTCTGTTGTTGATGACTATGTTTCTCGCTCCTGCTACTTCTGCAGCTCCGGACATTCTCATGTCATTACTCAGCCAGACCTGTAGAAAATGTTGTTTTTTCAGAAAAAAACTATAAATTTAATCTCCAGCTGCAACTAGTAGATTCAGAGCCATATTCATTAAAGAGAGTCAAAACAAAATCATGTATTTCACTAACATGGCTTGACATAAGTTGTGTTTATATAGGCTACCTAAAACAACAGAAATAAATCCATTTAACACGGAGACAGATATAAATAGAACCTTTATTAAGGTTCTTACTTCAGGCTGTCAGTATCATAAATGATATAGCAGCAGTAATGGCATTATCAGATTTTCCATGTAGTTTCCTGAATCCTTTTTAAAAAGTTTCTATTGTAGGTAAAAAGGTAAAATAAAATGATAAATTGCAGTGAAATTCCCTTACACTTCATGTTTCTGATCTAATATGAAATAAGAATTCTTAGCAAAGGCTGATTTGAACACCCATTCATACATAACGTAAAGAAAAAAATATGATTGCTTTTACAGTAGTGTTTACAAATTTACACTTTGTTTTTGTGTGTCTACTTGTCTTCCTACTTACCTCTGTCTCACATAATCTCAAAACATTTTTTGTTTTTATTCATTACATAACTTTTAAACGTATTTCTTTCTCTCTACTTATTTCCTTCAATTTTCTCATTTATCTGTTTGTATTAGACAATGTATAATTCCTTAAATGAGAATGGATTCATACTCATATTTACTTTTTTTCTGTTTTCTTGAAATTCTACCACTCAGGCACAAATTTGTAATTTTGTGTCTCTTTGTTGATATTCTAACATCAGATTCCAACATTCAGTCTTCAGAAATCCCCTCAAAATTAGGAGCATTTTATTTACTATACTAAAGAAAAATAAAACAAAGGTATATTCATATGCAATGTATATTTCATGTACTTGGCACATAAATAAGAAACAGACTGGAAATAGTTTAAATGTAGAAATGACTTTTCACAGATCTTGTAAACTGATGTGTAAAACAGTTACAATCTTATATTCTACAGCCATTCAGTGAACATAATAATTCACAAGAATTGTCTAACAATGTACTCTGTGTCTGTTTACATGTGTATATGATGATTGCCATATGCAAATACATATGTATGTATGTGTGCATATATGCATGTGTATGAGTAATCATAGGTAAGAAATATTC